GAAATCAATAAGGATGTAGAAGAATTAAACAACAATATACATCAACTTAAATTAGCAAATGTTTATAAAACTTTCCATTCCAAAAGAGAGTAATACAGATTCTTTTCAAGTGCAAAGGCTAGATTGAATTCTGGCTCATTGATAAGTTTCAGTAAATTTAAAAATGAGTCAAGTCATACAAAGTGTGTGTGTGTGTGTGTGTGTGTGTGTGTATTTTATTACAGTGGAATTAAATTACTAAAGTGAAAAGGTCTCTGGAAAGTTAACATTTGAAAACTAACAGTTCTGAATAATATACCATCAAAGAAGAAATCAAAAGGAAAATTAGAAAGTATTTTAAACATTGCTTGCAAAAAAATATTACCTTAAAACACAGGCACAAATCAATTTAAAAATAGAAAAAAATAAAAGCACAAGATACAAATATGTGGAACACAGCCAAAACAGTACTTAGAGGAAAAGTTATAGTCCTTAATTTCTATAATTGGGCAGGAAAAAAGTTTCAATTCAGTGATCCTTAAACTTGGGCAGGGGAGAGGGGGAAGAGTGAAATGCAAAATAAGCAGAAGAAAGGAAATAATAAAGAACACAGAAAAAAATCAGAAATAAAAAATGGAAAAATATAGAGCAAACTGATGAAGCCAAAAGCTAATTCTTTCAGAAAATTAATAAAATCAATAAACCAACAGCCACAAAATCAGGAAAAATGAAAGAAGATACAAATTACCAATATCAACAGTGAGAGAGATGGCCCAGGTACAGACTCCACAAATGTTACAAGTTTGATGAGGGAACTTCGTGAAAATCTCTATCAATAAACTCGAGAACTTAGAAAAAATGGACAAATTCTTTAAAAAATACAGATTACCAAAGGCTCTCTCAGCCTGATTATTAGTGTATCTACTCAACAAATTGAATTTATAGTTTATGCATCCTCCCACAAACAGTAATCCAGGCTCACTGAGGAATTCTACTGAACATTTAAGAAAAAAAACTTCTAAGTAATTCTGCCCATATTTTTCCATAAAATTGAAAACAAAGTATTGCTTCCCAATCAATCTGTGAGGCCAGCATCACCCTCATACCAACCAGATCAAGGCATAGGCAAAGAAAACTATGGTCCCTATCCCTCATGAACACAAAATATTATAAAGCTGTAGTAACCGTACAGCGTGAGACTGACATTAAGATAGACAATAGAGATTCCAGAAATAGATCCACACGAATGTATGGTCCATTGATTTCTGCGAGGAAGATGTATGTCAATTCAGTGGAACGAGGAGGGTCTTCAAGGATGGTGCTGGGTCAGTTGCAGCGTTAGTACATGGACCAATGGAACAGAAGAGAAAATCCAGAAATGTATCCAGTACCTCCCACCATACACTAAAATAAGTCCCCAATGGATCAGAGATTTAAATGTAAAATATGAAATTGCAAGTGCTAGGAGAAAACATATGTGAGTTCTTTTATAACCTGGAAGTGAGGGGAAACCTGTCTAACTATAATTCAAATTTTTTGTTTTTACAAAAAGAGGGGGGAATGGTAATTCCCATCATATTATACAAACAGAAACTTGTGTATGAATGTGTGCATATAATATTTTGCAACTTGCAGTAAAAGAATCATCCCTGACATACAGAGAGCTTCTAAAATTTTAGAAGACAAGCAAATTTATAGAATCCTAGCTGATAAATATGAAAAGATAAGTTATAGAAAATTAGATACATATAAAAGTATGTTCAGCTATCCCTGTATAAAAAGAAATGCAAATTAAAACAACACAGGGACATGGTTTCTCCCCTATCAGCTTGGCCAAAAATCAAAAAGTTTAACGGTATATTCTGCAGGGGAAGCTACAGAGAAACACGTATTCCACATTTTGCTGGTAGGAAGGCAAAATCATATAACCCAATAAGAGGTGAATTTGCAATATATAGCAAAATCACATATTACATATACACATAGCATACACATATTACATATACATCTCACCTAATACATATGACCCTATAACTCAACAATTCCACTTCTGGAAATTTATCCGGAGATCTGCTCACATAAATTCAAGATGATTTACACTTTAGGCTTTTCATCACACTATTTATAAGAGCAAAACCTGAGCTGCTACTAAATAAATCAGAGTTCAGCGACACAGCTGAGCACTGCGTGGGTTCAGAAGGGCCCATGCATGACTTAACCAGACAAAGATAAACGATTTCAAGGGATTTTGTAAAAGGGTTTACCTGAGCAAAGTGGTGAACATCTATAATCCCAGAGACTCTGGAGGCTGAGGCAGGAGGATTGCAAGCTGGAGGCCAGCCTCAGCAACCTAGAGGGGATCTATGCAACTTAGGGAGACTCTGTCTCAAAATTTAAAAAGAAGTGAGGCTGGGGATATGGCTCAGTGGTTGAGTCCCCCTGGGTTCAACCCTTGATCCCCCCCCCCCCAAAAAAAAAAGAAGAAGAAGAAAAACAACAACAGAGTTTAGCTTGGGTTCATTAAGAACCAGACCCTGAGGCTAGAACTTGAATTCAAGAAATTCCAGTAAGAGAAGAGTGTCCTCAGAAAACAAAGGGTGTGTTATTATCAAGCCCACTACCACAGTCAGCATTGGGTGCTCACTCCTGTTGAAAAACCATAGGAAACAGTAAGGAATGTGGTATAGAATTCGGTAGGGATGTTGACCTGGTTTGCTTTTTTAAAAATATTTATTTATTTATTTTTATGTGATGCTGAGGATTGAACCCAGTGCCTCACACATGCAAGGCAAGCACTCTGCCACTGAGCCACAACCCCAGCCCTGACCTGGTTTTTTTCTACAAGTAAAGGCAAACGATAAAAAGAGGAAGAGAACTCTTTTAGATTAAAAAAGGCTTAAGAGACATCAACTGAATATAACATATGGCTCTTGCTTGGATCCTAATTCAAACAAACCAACTATAAAATTATATTTATGGGACAAGCAGAAAAATCTGAATGCTGACGAATATCAGATGATATGGAGGTATTGTTTTTGAATCTTAATTATCATCATGGTGTTTTGCTTGTTTAAAAAGAATTCTTGACTCAGACAAACATTTTATTCCTAGTTAGGAATGAAACAAGAGAGCCTGGCATTTGTTTTAACATAACCCAATGTCATCACTTCCTGGCCTTTTGGCTAAGAGTCTGAGTTTTATCAGTTTAATATCTAAAACGTCCTCTTTCCAAGGACAATGTGGTAAGTGGATTTGGGGAGCAGGGAGATGGACTGGCAACTTGCTGCATCCACTCCACATCATACTGGTATTACAGTGCCTCCCAGGAATGGGGTGCCTCTTGGGGACATTCAAGAAATAAAACAGCCCAGTGTCTAGCTGCCTTAACTAGCATAATGCCCTCTAAAATTCACCCACGCTGCAGCAAATGGAAAGATCTCCTCTTTTAAGGCTGAATAATCTTCCACTGTGCAGACTCCTATACCACAATTTCCTTCTCCACTCATCCGTTTGCAAACCCATATGTCGTTTTCATGTCTTGGCTCTTGTGAATAATGTTGCCATGAACATGGGGTGCAGAAAAGTTTAGGAGGGGATGCTTTCATTTCCTGTGGGCATATACCTAGAACAGGAGTTGCTAGATCATGGCAGCTCTATTTTTCATTTGTTGTCCTTATATGAGGAATCTAAAAAAAAAAATGACTCAAATACATAGAAACAGAGAGTACAATGGTGGTTACCAGCAAAAGGCAGTGGGTAAAATGAAAGTCAAAGTAACAAAATTTTATTTATATAAAATAGGTAAGTCTAGAGATCTAGTGCTCAGCCAGAGGCATAGTTAATAATAAGTTATATACAGAATATTTACTAAGACAATAGATTTTAGGTAACTTTACCACATACAAAAATGTGACTAAGACAATAAATAAATTATCTTGACTGTAATAAGATCGTTTTATTATGCATACATACGCCAAGCCATTATGTTGTATGCATTCAGGATATACAGTTAAAATAGATAAACTAGTAGATGGTAGGAAAAATATAGATGAAACAAGATCTCTATTTGTTGATAATTATTGAAGTCCCATGATGAGTGCTTTCTAATTTTTTTGTGTTTACGATTTATCAACATGAAAAGATTTTTTTTAATCCAAGCCTGTATACCCCTTTGAAAAAATGTTTGTGCACTCCCCGGTCTAGATTTACCCTAAGCTGAAGTCCATTTGAACACTCAGCAATTCCTTAGTAGGAGGAATTATAACCATTTGGAAAAAAAAAAATCAGGAATGAATTTATTATACGTTCATAGAAACTAAGCAAATAAAAATAATGAGGCCATTAAAAATTCCTGGGAAAACAAAAGGCTGCCCAAGAAACGTAATGCTAATGTATTACATGGCCCTGCTGCAGGCGATGCTCCTTGGTCATAATAATCTAAATGCTGAATACTGATAAAACAAAAAGTCATGACGTGTCTGAGATAGGAGGATGCAGGGGGGTGAAGTGCAGGTGGTCCTTGGAGGGAGATGGCAGAGAGTTAAATTATCTTCTTCCACAATATTATATAAAATTGAAAAAATGAGAAATGACAGTGTAAAGATGTTGTTTAAAACAGAAAGAAACACTCAATCAGCTAAAATAGTTAAAAGCATTTGGTCTATAATTTTGACAAGGATAGGAAATTAAGAGTTCACTGTTTTTCATGCCATGACTTCTATAACTTTTTAACAATACGGTTTGTTGACACAGAGAGGGAGGAGAACAAGGAAATGATGTCCATGGTCACATCTGGAATTTAAGACCCCAAGCATGGACTGGAAGAGTTGGGAAGCAAAGTTAGGCCCTTGAGCTGGTTTATAATGAAGCGATAATAAGACTCACGAAGAGGAGGGAACTGAAGATGAGAGAGAGGCTGGAGTGGGGGTTCAGGCAAGGTGAACCCTGAGGGTGGCCGTGGTGCTAAAGTGCAACTCGCCATCTTCACCTCTCTCTTTCCTCCTCCTTTGCCCTGATCCAAGCTGAACCCTCCCCTCCAGAGATCTCTGGCCCCTCCAGCAGGGCCAGCCCCGGCCAAGTCCTGAATCTCACCTGCATCTCAAGGGGCTTCTTTCCCAAACACATCGACCTGCAATGGTTCAAAGACGGCAGGGAGCTGCCGGCCTTCCACACCCTGGTCTTCCAGCCTGGAGAGGAGCCCTCCTACGCCATTGTCAGCACCACTCTGGTGTCCCTGACCTTCTCCTCACTCTACTCCCACGTCACCTGCCAAGTGGCCCACAGTGAGTTGCAGAGCCCCCACAGAAGGCACGTGAACATCTCGCAATTCCTCCAAGGTAAGACCCCCCCACCTCCTGGGCCGACCTTTGGTGGTGGCCATGGGCTCCCCAGTCGGAGCTCTTCCCTGCATCCTCCCATTCATTCTCCAGGGAACCTCGAGGGAGCTGAGCGTGAGGTTCTTGATGTATCTATCCCCCTCCCACATCAGAGCTTCCTAGTGTCTTTGGGAGGTGGAAATTCATTCATTCATCCAATGTGTTGACTAAGCATCTGCTTTGGGGATGGCATTATTCTAGATGCTGGGGATTCCATGGCAAGCAGAACAGACCTCGTTCTGTCTCATGAATTCCATCCGCCAAGTCCCAAACGATTATACGGAACATGTGCTCTGAGGAGAAAGAACAGATTGCTGCATTGATATAACAGGAGAAGTCTGGTTTATTGGAGAAATGTCTTTTGGAAGAAGTGACGTTTGAGTCAAGATATGAAAGAGGAAAAGGAATCATCCAAGCAAAGTAGAGTGTTCTAGGAAGAGGAAACAGCACATGCAAAGGCCCTGTGGTGGGGCAGTGGTGAAGAGTTAAGACATGTTTGAGGAACAGAAAGAAGATCAGGGTGACTGGGACCTAGTGAAAAGACAGGTGTGTGGAAAAGGAAAGGGAGTGGGGACCAGATTGCTCAGGGCTTCTAAGCCTCAGCAAGGATGTTTCTCCCACTTGAAATCCTAACAACATTGTCCAGGTCCTGCTTTTGAAATATGCTTCTTCAACCTGCCACTCCACCCCACCCTGGGCAGGCAGGAGCAGTGCAGGCTGCGCCTCCCCTTCTTGTTCTGCCTTTATGAAGGGAAAGCCTCTTGTTCATTCCCCAGGAGCAAAGCCCAGGCTGTTGTGTTGAATCAAACTGCAGAATAAGTAGGCAAGTAAAAGAAATTTCTCCAACTGCTACTCAAGTCCATGCCCTGGCCTGCAAGGGGCCTTTCCCCCAGGGTCTGCTCTCTCCTTAGCGCCTCAGCAACCTCAGCATGGCGAGGTCCCACTTACCTCCTGCAGGTGGTGAAATTCCTCCCAGGGGTCCAGTGACCGAGTTTTTCTTCTTTCCAAATCCAGCCGTTGAAAACCAAAGATCTCCCATTACCAGCACCATGATCTCCACAGCACCCTCCCTCCCCATGGAGACAATCTCTGGTATCCCAATAGACAGAGTTCAGCTCTTTATGACTCAAATGCCTGCATCCCAAAATAGGAGTCTGCCTGCTTAACCAAAAGATCAAAGTTTTAAATTCTACTCTCCACCTTGAACACCCCAAAGAAACTCTATGGCTCTTCGACCTGGTTCCTGCAGATGAGGAAACCGAGGCCTGGAAAAGCTAAATTCTTGCCCAAGGTCACATGACTTTTCAGTAAGCACACTTCAGAGTCCCTTCCCTCCCGTAAGAATCACCGCTGTGGCCAACTGAGGAACTCTGCTTCCAGCTCTACCTCCCCCCAGAGAAGCCGTTCAGTCATGGTCAGCCTAGAGATGGGCATGATCCTTTCTCCTCACTGTCTCTGTCACACAGTTCCTCTGCCTCCTCTGTGGATGAAGGGAGCACACTCTCCATGAACCGGCTCCCCAGCCCAGAGAACCCTCCTTGCCCAATCCTTCACTAAATTCTATTATTCCCCCTTAAATCTCCTCTAAAATCCCAGCAACTCAAGAGGCTGAGGCAGGAGGATCACCAGTTCAAAGCCAGCCTCTGCAATTTAGCAAGGCCCTACATAATTTAGTGAGACCCCCATCTCCAAATAAAAATTTAAACAGGCCAGGGATGTGGCTCAGTGGTTAAGTGCCCCTGGTTTCAATTCCTGGTACCAAAAAAAAAATTCTTTTGAGCCCATACATTTCTGTCTACTTCCACTATCTGAATTAATACCCAAGTTCAAGCCGACATTATCTCTTACTTGGCAATTGCAATAGCCTCCTAATTAATCTCTTGTACCCACGTGCCTTCTGCAGTTCATACACTAACCCTCCAGCAGCCAAAGCCATTTTTCTAAAGAAAACCAGACCATGCCCCTCCTCTGCTTAAAACCCTACAGTGGCTCACCATTGCTCTTAAGGGTAAAAAAAAAAATCTACTGGGATGCTTACCAAGCATTTTTGCTCATATACCCAAAAATACTTATGGAGGGCTATGTAGTTTATCATGTATTTTAAAGTTGACACCTAAAATTATTCATCATAAGCTTAAATGATTGCATACAACATAATCCCTGAGAAGTTACATCCATCTTAAAATATTTAATGGAAAAATAATATCATACTTCCACTATCATCCATTGAAACATAAAGTCTTCTTTGATAATAAGAAATTGTACAGCACTCCTTTCTCTCCCTAAATTTGTGTCTTTATTCTAATTCCATATTGGAAAGTTCTTTTTATTGACCACAATATCATACAGACTTATTATCAAAGAGAACCACAAAAATACAGAGGACTCCAACAAGACTGAAATTTTTTAAAAAATTTCTTGCTACCATAAGGCTCTCAGTGTTCAAAAAATTCTTTCACGTTGAGTTAGTTACACGATCGACTAAAACAATCTAAAAGTCTGACAGGTTTTATAAATAATTATTAAAAGAGTCTTTAGAGATGTGATTGGGAGCGCAGTTTGGTGAGGCGGTGGGAGGTCTGTGATGCTGTGGCCAGGACGGGCTTCCTGCCAGCAGGTTGGTGAACTGTCCTTTTATCCTGGGTCCCAAAGTCTTCAAGCTGAGGACAATGCACCATAGCTAGGTTCGGGACGTGTGGGACAAAGGCCTTTCTTTTGTGAAGTATGAGGAAGAAAATTCAGAAACAAAGGAGGTCAGAGAGGAAAGGCCTTGATGTTTACTCTCAGGCCATCAGTTTACAAAAAGAGTCCTATGGGGCTCAGGATTTGGAAAGCAATTTAATGAAAACCATCAGGGTCTCTACTCCTTAGAATGCCTTTCAGAGCCTTCAGGGGTGGCACTCATAAGCACAGCTACTAGAATGGACTGGGAATTTGGCCTCACCTCACCCATACTCCCTCTCTCTCACTTTGGTCTTGTATCTTAAAGCTTTGGAACCTGCTAAGCTTCACCACAGGGCCTCTGGCCTAATACTCCAGCTACCAGGCTGCTGTGTTGAATCAAACTGCACAAATAAGGAGTGGAGGTAAAGGAAATCACCCTGCATAGGTCCTTTTCCCAGGGGTCTGCACTTTTCTTAGCTCCTCACCAACCTCAGCCTGGTGAGGCCCACTTCGCCTCCTATAGATGATTAAACTCAAATTATTTTTATCCAAGTTATTCCAGTACTCCCAATTTATTTCAAATCCTCCACATCATTACACTCACAGATTCTCGGGGTCAGAAATTCTGACGGAAGTGGAGCAGTGGTGGCTGGTCTCTGCTCCATGATGCCTGGGCCTTGGGCAAAGGCTGGGGCCTGGCCTTGGTGCTGGCTGCAGGCTTGGGGCCTGGGTTCTCCTTGACACAGGCCTTTCCTCATCGTCTTTCCACATGGGCTGGTTTGGGCTTCCTTATGGCTGGGTGCTGGGTACGAAGGGTGTATCCCAAGAAAGATGGCGCCTGAACCAGGTGAAAGCCATGTCAATCTGATGACCCAGCCTTAGACGTCCCACGGGCCATCTCTGCCACATTCTGCTCATCAGACCGTCACAAAGTCCCACTCTGATTCCAGGGAGAGGAGAAACAGACTCCATCTCTGATGAGGAGAGGTAAAATTTTGGAAGACCATGTGGGCCTTGCTGTCACCATTTTTTAGAAAATACAATCTGTGCATATAGTTAACTCCAAGTATGTTATCTTTCCTATTTCTGCCCAAAGATCATTTCCTCCAGAAACCTGCCCTAGTCTGTCTACCTCCAGACCAGGTGAGGTGGCCCTACTGTAGGAACCCCTGTGGGAATCCCATGATTGCTTCCTCCCCACCAGAGTGGGCACTCCGGGAGGCAGGGACATGCCTTCCTGGTTTACTGTTATATTCCAAGAACTGAGCACAAGGCCTAGCAAGGGACAGATGCTCCTTGGGCCTTTTTGCACAAAGAAAGAAAGTAAAAGAAGGCTATTGTTTCAGTTGTCCCCACAGTGTACACCTCAGCACACTACATCCCAGAACTCCAGGTGGCCCTTCTCACCTGCCGTGTGCAAAGGTTTTACCCTGAAGACATGCGAATCACCTGGCTGGAGAGGAACGGGTGCTTCAAGATCTGCGCGGCCTCTGCCCCCACCGAGAACCCAGACAACACATTCAGCCAAGACAGGCACATCCTGGTCAATGCTTCAGAGTTGGAGAACCCAAGGCTGTTCACCTGCCAGGTGTGGCACAATGACCAGGTGCTGGTCCAAAAGAGCATGCACCTGAGTGAGTCTGGAGGCCTGCAACTGAAGTTGGGTAAGTGGGAGCGGACTCACCGCACAGACCTACGGCCACACAGGCTGGTTGAGAAACTGACCCTGCTCTACTCACTGTGTGTGAGTGACCTTGGGGAAGTCACTTCACCTTTCTGGAACTCTTCATCTGTAATATGTGAAGGCAATCACAGTATCCTCTTCAGAAGGTGATGCCTTTGGTACCAAAGAGCAGAAGTGCTGTTTTCACAGCTGCAAGCTGACCACCCACCCATGTGACCAGGTGGGCAAGCTCACGTGAAACCTCCTTCCTCAGTTCCCACCCAAAAGCCATTCAGCTTCAACAATTACTGAGCACCTACTAGGTCCTTTGTGTGGGTGTTGTCACTCTGTACAAAGACTTCTCAAGTATATGTTCCAATGCCCACTTTAAAGATGAGGAAACTGAGGCTTAGAGAGGTGAGGTGACTCCCTCCAAGACCAAGGTGTAGTCTTGGTACCTGGGTCAGGGCAGGGCTGAGCCTGTCTGGGGGTTGAGCAATGGTAGAGGATCCAGGCTCACCCTGATCTTCCTGATGTCCTTCTGTCATCAGGTGCCACCGTATACAGCTACATTCTTCTCCTTGGCTGGAAGTTGTTTCCTCTGATGGCACTTTGTGCCATCTATGCTCTCAGGAGGAGCCTCTCTTCCAGGTAAAGTGGGACCCAAGATAAAGAATGTGATGTCAGGGAGGGACCTCAGCTAGAGAAGAAAGCCACCAGGTCCTCCCTGACGTCCTCTACCTTGAAGGGGTATTGAATCTGGAGGACCCTGGTAGCTGTGCCCCAGTCCCTCAACCTTCCTCTCTGTCTCTCACATGTGCTCTGGTCTGGACTGGAAGAGAGTCAGGTGCAGTGGCTCATGCCTGTAATGTCAGCTACTCTGCTCAGGAAGCTGAGGCAGGAGGATTCCAAGTTTGAGGCCAGCCTGAGCAACTTAGCAAGAACTTGTCTCAAAATTTAAAAAAATAAATAAATAAATAAGAGAGAAGGGCCGATGTAGCTCGGTAATAAGTGCGACCAAGAGAGCTTTATTGCAGTAGTACAAAAGAGGAGAAAGAGAGAGAGAAAGAAAAAAAGGGGGGGAAGAAAGAGAAGAGGAGAGATGGAGAGAGGGAGAGAGAGAGAGAGAGAGAGAGAGAGCGCACGAGCAAGAGAGAGGGGCCCGGTAGGAGGGAGTTTTTATAGCTTAAATCTAATGAGGTCTCTGGGTCTGCAAGCTGCCTTGTCGGTACAAGGAGGGTTAAATGTTCGGCCTTGAGTGGGGGGGTTGACGCAAACAGGTGATAAAGGACCAGACAGAGGGGGGTTTGAGTGTGTGGGCTATCCTGCAGATAACAAAGTTCAGCCTGCCCTGCACCTAATAATAAGCACACCTGGGTTCAATCACCAGTACTGTGTGTGTGTGTATGTGTGTGTGTGTGTGTGTGTGTGTGTGTGAGAGAGAGAGAGAGAGAGAGACAGAGGGGGAGGGGGGAGGGAGAGGGAGAGAGAGAGTGTGTTGGTGTGGAGATGAGAAGAACAAGGGTCCTCCTCAGCTTCCTGGTTCCTCTTCAGGTCACAGGCACTGCCAGGACAGGCCACCTCAGGGACATAGGACCTTAGTTCCCTTCTGTCTTGTTCAGGAGGACTGTGGGATGCCTGCAGCTGCCACATTGGCTTCTGCCTTGTCAGCCTGCTGACATCTGCCCCTCTCTAGCTCTCCTTCCTCCCTGTCTCCTGCAGGCCCCAGAGAAGGTGAGAACCTGGACCAGGAAGGTCGGCAGTGAGAGGTGGCTTCTCATACCCTCCTCAGGAAGGAAGTTTCTGTGGAGATTCTGGCCTCAAAGTCTATGACTCTGACCAAGAAACCAAGATGGAAACACACACCTGCAGTTCTACTGGCCCTTCCTAGCCCTTTGGGGACCCAAGTGCTACCATGAAACTCTGGCAGCCCTTTAGTAAACAGGAAACACCTTGGCAAAGCCACACTGAGGTGCCATTTTGTCCCTGTTCAAATAGCAAACTAAAGAAGCAATTGAGTCTTTCTTACAATATTTGTAGGCACATAAATATGGGCATAGCTACTTTTGAAAACATTTTGGAAAATGTTGTTGCACTGAACATTCACATACCCTATAACCTGGCATTTCCAATCTTGGGTGTAGAAGAAACTCTTGCACCTGTGCACCAGGAACTGTGTACAAATATATACATAATAGCATTTTTTTAAATTAGCAAAACCTGAAAACTCTCCAAATGCACATCTACAGGCTGTTACTCAAATAACAAGTGGTAGAACCAAGACATCCAGCTTCAAACCCGAGTCCAAGTTCCTTCCTGTTCATTTGCATGATCTCTCAGACCCTACTCAGTGCTTACCTGGACCATTCCAATGGCCTCCTCACAGGGGTGCCCTGGAGCCTTCCATCCATCCATTACAGCAGAGCGGTCTTTTCAAAGCATTTATTCAAAAACTTTAGATAGTTCATCATTCCCTAAATCAAACCTCAAAAAGGGTTTAGAGGATGCCCCAGGTATGTCATACCTTGAAACCAGATGAAACATGTAGCTGGAAGGGTTCCCATTTGGACACAAAGTTTCTTTCGGGTGTAACTCCAGATTGGAAATGCCAGGTTATAGGGTTGTATTCAATGCAACAACATTTTCCAAAAAGATGCATTATCCATTTAAGGAAATGGCCTCATCCTAGCCCAGCCCAGCCCAGAGTTAGCTCACTGTAAAGGCTCTCTCTTCATTTACTCCACAAATATCACTGGGTATGTACTGCGTACCGCTGGGTAGACATTGAGCAAACTCTGGTCAATGCTGATAAAGGCGGTCTCAGCCTTTATGGAGTTTACAGACTGCTGAGAACATAGGAAATAGAGAAGAAAGGACCCAGGCTGCAAAGAGAAGGTGGGGGGAAAGGATGACAGAATGTAAAGCATGCTCTGAAGAAAAGAAAAGTGTCTGCAGAATAATGGGATTACAATGACAGAGATATCCACGGGGGTCAGGAATTAAGTGGCTCGCTACAAAGAATGGTTGGTGGGAAAGCCTTTCTAAAAAAGAGGTGCATTTGAGCTAACAGCTCCAAGAGGCTGGGAAATACCTTATTATCAGAGGGAATCTATTGTGCCAAACCCTCCAGTGTGGAGGAGCTGGGGAGGCTCAAGGAAGTGGAAGGGGAGGGGGGGGGGCAGGAGAGTGCAAGTAACAGGACATGGGGCAGAGCCGCAGGGATGCCAGGGAGCCATCTTACACAGGGATGACAGCCACCGGAGAGATTTAGGATTTTAGTCAAAGAACGCGAAGACTCGAGAGTTTTAATCCACAGAGCAAATGACAAGATCTGATTTACATTTATAGCAATTACCGTGGCTCCTGTGGGGTAAGTAGATTAGAGCACAGGAGGTAATGATCAAATTCAGACGTTTGGTGACCACAGTGAATCAAGAGGCCATGAGGGTGCCAGGAGCTGTGGCGGTGCTGATGCACATGGAGACAGATCTACTAACCTCGGGTTATATCCTAACAGTGGAAATGACAGGGCTCGCTGGGGACTGCATGTGAAAGGTGCCGGAGGAAGAAGAATTAGGGATGGCTTTAAGGCAAGGTTAGGGTTAGGGGGAGGAAGGCAGGTGGGAGAAGGGGGCTGGTCATGGGACTTAACAGTTCAGCTGTAAACAGGAAGCAGAGATGCTGAGTAGGAAGATGGACAGATGTGTATGGAGTTCAGAGAGAGAGGTCAAAGCTGGAGAGATATTTTTGGAGCCATCGGGCCTGGAAAGCTGGTTGCCAGGGCAGCCAAGCAGCAGAACTAAAATATCTAGATTTTCCTTTTCTGTCCTTCTGGCCTCCCAAAAGCACTTGGATACAACGTGATCTCCAGGCTCTGGTACAAAACAAGGACTTGCACAGGCATGAATTGAAAGGAAAAACAGAAAGACAAAATTCTTTCAGTTGTCAGGACAGCATGATTATAGATATATTTTTCTTTTCTTTTTTGTTTTCATATCTACTGAGAGTTGTTGGTGGGTTTCTTCAACTAATCGTTTTTTAAATAATTAAATATAGTCTTGAATAAGTGGCCAAAAAAAAAAAAAAAGTAACCGGGTGCAGTGGCACACGCCTGTAAATCCCAGCAGCTGGGGAGGCTGAGACAGAAGGATCGAGAGTTCAAAGCCAGCCTCAGCAACGGCAAGGTGCCAAATAAAATACAAAATAGGGCTGGGGATGTGGCTCATTGGTTGAGTGCCCCTGAGTTCAATCCCGGTCCAAAAAAAACAAGTAAAGTAAACCTTGATGCCTGCAGGGGTTGGGAATGTCCCCCTTGTTCCTGTCACCCTGGAGTATCCTGGTAATTCTCAGTAGCTTCACTGGATCCTGGGGAGAGATCTTGCAAAGACAGCCACAGAGGCAGGAAGGCATTCACAAATGGACCCTGAAACATCTGAGAGACGCTGTTCCTTGACATCACAATCTGAGCTGGAAAAGCTTTTGGTGCCACCCGGTCCCACCCCTCTACATCAACCTCAGTTAATAGATGGGAATGTTATATCCTGAAGAGACTGGACAATATCATCAAAATAAACCAATGCCACCATTCCAGGTGTGCAAAAACATAATACCATTTTAAATTTTTCCACCATCTAACATGATTTCTATTTTAAACACCCTTTCCATGGATTTAACCTTGGTGGTTCAGGATGTTCTCCATCAAATCAGATTTCCCCCACCTTCCCGTCCCCAACATGTCTCAGGTGCCTTTGTGACCTGGATCCACACAGGTGCCCCCAGCGTGAACTTCTTCCTGACCCCAGGGCTTCTCCAAACCCGCTGGCTTTGAGCTGCACCCACAGTCCTCTTATGCACCCTGGATGATTTGGCTACTCTGGCACCCCAGGAGCTCTGCAAGGTGGCTTGAGGGCCCTTCCTCTCAAACACAATGTATACTCCATCGGCTCTTCTGTGGCCAGGTCAGGCTAGGGACACGAACTCCACAAGCTCTGTCACCCCAAAGGAAAATTTGAGTACTCTGACTCTTCAATCCTGCCAAATTTGACCTGGGGCTGAAGGGAGCAGGTGGCAGGACCCCTTTAGAGTGCCCTTCCCCCTCCCCTCCTGTGTCCTGCCGCAGCTCGGCTGGCTACAGCAAAATAACCTGGGGGTGACAAACAACTTGTGTAGGTTGATACAGCAGGAGTAGGAGCCGTTTATTGCAGGACAGGAGCAGTATTTATACATTCCACACAGCTTATCTAATTAGCATAAACTAGATACATCAGTCAACCAATCAGGAATCTCCACACTTAATGGCTCACTTTTGTTACTTCTCAAACCACTTCCTCTGGCATTTTGCCAGGCACCATCCAGACTTGTTTACGAACTCTAACATTCCCCTGGCAAAATGCCAGGTGTTATTTTGACTTGTTTACAGACTCTAACAGTGTCCCTCACCTTGAGCAAGCTTGCCCTACTCCAGCAGGTAACTGAGGTGGGGGTGGGGGGCAGCCAAGAAGAGACTAGCTCTCAGGAGCCCATATTTTCCCAAACTTTTGCATCTCTCTCATCTGGATCTCAGCTTCTGAAACTCAAGTGCATTTGTTCTTTTTCTGCAGTGATGGCCTTGAGACAGACGCATTATATTCATCGGCTGCCTAATTTGGTCACAATAAAAAGCTCTGAGGGAAAGACACCTTGGAAAACGGGGCTGCAGAGCTCAGCAGCGCCACCAACAGGCAGGTTTTATAATGACCTGTCAGAATTAGACACTCCAGGGGTGCATGATAGCTTAATTCTATCAGAGAAAAAAGATGGAAGAATTTGCAATAGTATGGGGTGTTTGTTAAAAATTATTTGACTTTTATTCGTTTATTTTTCATAAACACTAATGTGAATCTAGGGGGAAAACTGAATGCATTCAACCATACAGAACCCACCAATTCCCCATGTGTCTCGCTCCTACAAATTTCCTGCAGTCCTCCATTAGTAAAATGTGGAAAGAGAAAATAATGAGTTTCATGAAAACCACTTGGAACCCTTATTTTCCCCCCAGATTTCCTGGAGGAGTTGATCTCAAGCTTGGCAGGAAGAAGCAAAAGAGTCATGTAGAGGGCAGATTCACAGTGGGATGTATTGCCTGGCCCTCAGAACCTTTAACTCTGAATCTTCTGCCTTACTTTCTATGATTCTTTAACAAAGGTAATTTCTACTTCTAAAAGTAATTTCTATGGTGTTTTTAAAAAGGTATGTATTGAACTGATCCATAGAAAGGTTTTTCATTTTTCACCATCTCCACCATGCACAGAGATGGTGATCTTGTGGAATATCTTTCCCAGAAACCTCCAGAAGATTTTCCTTCCCATCTGATTAGCCAGAATCTCAACACATGTCCCAGACTCAACCAGTTATTTGAATAATCATTGCCCAGAGTGTGGAGCTGCATAATTGGCTTGAACCTATGAATATTCGTCTCCTGGGGTTCTAGAAGGGCCTATGTTCCACTGAAACTCGTTTCAGTATGGAACAGGGATTCTGTTGGCAAGGCAGGAGAGGGAAATGGCTGTGGAGAGACCCTAACAAGGGTATCTTGCAGAGTGTAAGTGGTGAGTTCAGTGAGGTATGAAAAATTGCATCTGGACCTGGGGTCAGGGTGCTGAACGCATGTCAGAGAAGGTTTAGGTTCCAAACACCAGATTCTTGGGGGTTTCATCAAATGTCCCCCAAGAAAAAGCTTGGTATGGAGAGAATGGAGTAGCCAGCAGAGCCAGGCACCTGCAAATGAGTCGGTTAGGCCTCGACAAGGAGCAGTGGTCTCAGTGACCCCCACCACCAAAGATTGAGAACTAAGGCTCATCCCATTTGTCCTGTAGGCAGTCAGCCCAGCTGCCTTATATAACCAGAAAATGGGGATGGGGGGGCATGAGAAATAGCTACTATTTGCTTTCTTCCCGTCCTTGCTAGGAGGAAAGTGTTCAACCGAATTTAATAGGAGTTAGAAAGATATTTTAAGCGACATACTTATTAATGACAAAAGAGAAAAAAGAAAAC